ATATGTTAATTTGGGGAAATTTATAAACATAGAAGGGAGCACAGAAATTACTCTTATTCCATTGTCTCTAAAGAAACTCTGTTCTGGGGGTGGCTTAGTGGTAGAACCCATGCTTAGTATGCACAAGGTCCTGGGTTCAATCCCCAGTACCTCCAAAAAAAACCCACCACACTATTCTAATTTTACTCTGTTGCTTTTGGGTCATTTGGTCACACACATATACACGTGTATATACACACACATACACAGGCATATATGTGTGCATTCATACACATAATTTTAAAATGGGAAATTAGAGTTACACTTTTCTTTGTACTTAATGTATTATAATCTCTCACATCATTAGTCAGGTGTTGTCCAGATGAACAGAACAGGGTGTGTGTATGTGTGTGGGGAGAGAGAGAAAGCGGTGGGGGGCAGATGATTTTCAGGAATTGGTTCACATGATTGTGGAGGCTTGGCAAGTTAAAAGTGTATAGTGTAAGTCAGCAGGCAGGAGACTGAGGGCAAAGTTGGAATTCGAGTCCAAAGGCAGTCTGCTGGAAGAATTCTTTCCTGCTTGAGGAGTTCAGGGTTTGTTTGTCTGTCTGTCTGTCTGTCTGTCTGTTTGTTTTCTATTAAGGCCTCCAGTTGATTGGATGAGGCCCACCTACATTATGGAATGTAAACTGCTTTAGTCAAAGTCAGCTGATTTAAATATTAATCTCATCAAAGAACACCTTCACAGAAACATCTAGAATAATGTTTGACCAATATCTGGGTATCTTGGCCTAGCCAATTTGATACCTAACATTAACCATCATCATTGGTATACCATGATTTGGGTTTCTGTTTTCCTGATTTGGAAAGGAAAGCCTTTCTAGGTTTTAACAATTATAATATTACATGCAGTTAAACACCCCTGTGTATAAAACTTCATTTAATAAATATGTGAGTTCCTGGAGCTTTATATACAAAGCAAAGTCTCTACTTTCATGAAGCTTACATTCTGTGAGGAAAGACAGGTAAAAAAATACTAATGTTAATAAAAATATGCCAGGTATTCATAAATGCTGTACAGAAAAATAAAGCAAGATAAGGA